ATAAATAAATAAATGTTTATTGTTACATACATTAAACACTGCATCAAAAATGCGTGGGCAAAGGAGAAATTAAATAAAACAATAAAAAAATAAGTGTGGAGTCACCAGCAGATATGAACGCTGCTCAATCCAACTCACGTGGAGTAACGGAGAGTATCTGTGCTGGCCTTAGCACCCACTCTGGCCCTGCCCACTGACGCGTTTGGTCACAGAGGTGAAAGAACACAGAACCTTAGAACATACAGTGAAGAACAGAAGTATTTGAACCCCCTGTGATTTTGCAAGTTCTCCCACTTAGAAATCATGGAGGGGTCTGAAATTCACATTGTACGTGCATTCCCACTCTGAGAGACAGAATTAAAAAAAAAATTCAGGAAATTACATTGTATGATTTTTAAAGAATTTATTTGTCTTGCACTGCTGAACATAAGTATTTGAAAATACTTTAAAAATCATACAATGTGATTTCCTGAATTTTTTTTTTTTTAAATTCTGTCTCTCAGAGTGGGAATGCACCTATAATGTGAATTTCAGACTCCTCCATGATTTCTAAGTGGGAGAACTTGCAAAATCACAGGGTGTTCAAATACTTCTGTTCCTCACTGTATATGCCTCATCGGCCGTGAGGAAGACTGAAAACAGATGTGAAGTGAAGTGTTGTGAAAGATAATGTAAAACATTAAAAAAAATATATATTTGAAAAAATGTTTTTGTTTTTTATTTTACTCTATTCTATTTTACTACATTTATTTATTTTTGTTTACTCATTTTCCTTTATTTTATTTTTTATTTCATTTTCTTTTCCTTTTTTATCATTCATTTTATTATTTGCATTTTCCTCCTTCTACTCCGTCTTTTTTCTCTTTTCCATTTTCATTTCTTTCCTTTCCCTTTTTTCTCTTATTCTATTTTCTTCTTTTGTTCTAATTGCCATGATTTTTTTTGGAGTGTACATGCACCTCACATTTCTTTATATACATTTTTTCAAATATATATTTTTTACATTTTCTTCTTGTATATCTTTCTTTCGCCACACTTCATTTCTCATCTCTTCTCAATCTTTCTCACAGCCGATGATGCATAGATGATCTAAGGCTCTTTGCGGCCTTCCGTCTCTGTGACCAAGCCCCGATGGGCATGGCGAAATGCGTCAGTGGGTGTGGTTGGAGTGAGGGCTGAGGCCAGCACAGGCACTCTCCAATACTCCATGTGGGTTGGATTGAGCGGCGTCCATATCTTCTGGTGATTCCACACTTCTGGACAGTGTCAGTTTTGGATAGTGTCAGAAGTGTTTTGCCAAAAGCATAACAAAAGCTGAAAATAATATATACAGAGCAGGTTAGGAACACTTTTATGCCTTTCTATATATGCAATTCAAGGGAGTGTGTTGGAACAACTACTGATGTGCTGTTGTTTTCATACTAAAGCTTTGGAAAAAAAAAATTGTGGCGGATATCTGCAAGCAAGATGACATTACTGTTGTGTCTGCTTGATTTCATATATAAGCTTTTGCTCACCTAAGGCCTCTTAATATGGAGGTTCTTTTTGGATATTATTATGCATTTGACATGTCCACTTGCCTATATATAAGACAAATACCATGTGGCTAAAGTATGGAATATATGGTTGAGTCCCAGCCAGGTTTTTATTCTTTTTGGTGGATTATGTTTGCAATCTGCCGCCTGAATGTCCAAAAAACCTCTTTTGCAAGCACAGAATTACAATGCAGTTCATGCTGGAGTTTTAGCAGACACAAGAGATGAGATGGTAAGTGGGGTAGATACAGAATCCGTATTCTTAATACAGGGGCAAACAGTGCCTGGAGATTTCTGGGCACTGGGGAAAGGTCATAGACACACTGCACTGACAGCCCAAAGCAGATGCCATATTTCCACAGACAGTTTATCCAGTCCATGGACAGGAGAAATCAGGGTGATTTTTACACACTGTCTGTGAAAATACTGAGGGTTGACATCCCTGTAACAGAATGGTAGAACAAAGCATATTCAGCTTGAATTATTGATTGAGCAAAATGTTTGATGCCATAGGTGTATAAAATGACAAGTACTCTTAGGGCTCATGTACACTGCAGCTGATAAACGCACGTTTAGGAGCTGTTCAGCACTTTTTTCAGCAGCCCCTGAACTCACCCTAATGTTTTCCTATGTGTCCATGTACACATCTTCGTTTAGAGTCGTTTACAGGCATTTGAGTTTACAGTTGTTTTTTGAATGCAGAAAACTTGCGTTCAGCAGTTTTATCAGCGTTTCAAAACACAAAACGCTTGTAAACACGGCAAAACACTTGTAAACATGGCAAATCGTGTTTATAAGTGTTTGCGTTTGAAAATTTTTTTAACTCTTCCAGTTCCCGATGCTGTCCAGAGCCTTTTTTCATTATGAAAAATGCATGCAAAGCATTTTCAAGGTACTCAGATGGACACAGGATGGTCCTACCAAGCTTGTCACACATTGTAATGACCAATTCACACTGTGGACCTCTCCCACCCTTGGAAACAAAAGATATGTTAATGACCATTCACACCTCAAATTCCTCATGAAGACCCCCTGCCAGGTGGCCTTAATGACTCACCCTTATCCCACCCTTGGAAACAAAAGGAACATTAATAAACAACTCACACCTAAGCTAATCTCAACACATACTGCTGTCTCTGCTTCTACTCTCTGTATTTCTCTGAAACAGTCTGAAATAGTTAATATTTTACCACTTTTCAGTGCATTCTGGGCATTTTGGTTCTCCTGTGCTTATCTTTAAAAAATGCTTCTAAACGTAAACACACATAAACGTGCATAAAGGCGTTATGCAAACGCAGCTAAACAGACGTTTTTTAACCTACGTTTTTCCAGCAGTCAGTTTCCATCGTTTAGAAGTGTCCTGTGTACATGGGGCCTTACCACATGCCACTGGTTTGTACTGCTTTGTGGGATTATCTATCTGTTGTATCTGTAGCACTCTAGATTACCCACTGTAGATTACCCCTGGTCTCCTTTGCTAGCACAGAAGCTGCCAAGCACATTTCCATGCACACTGATAATACAGACTCATTCTAGGGGATGTGTTCTTAATATATATATACTGTATATATATATATATATATATATATATATTCTTAGCAGGAATTCCCATAGCAATAAGCAATAGGCACACACTAAAGTCCAATATCAAGTCTTACTCACAATGTCCTATGAGCTGTCTGCCACTCAGCTTCCTTAGGCAAATCATCAGTGAAGGAGACAAGGACCAGGACTTCAGGACAGCCCATATGGAAGAAAAATATATTTGAAATATATTTTAAAAATAGTCTTCCCAAATATATTGACATATATTTGAAATAGCACAATTTTGGCCTTATTCTATATATATATATATAATATATATATATACTGTATATATATGTGTATAATTATTATACATTGTTTATATAGCGCCAAAGGGTTTGCTCAGCGCTGTACATTAGCGTGGGGGACAGAACATGAGACAAAACAGTAAATTACAATACACGAGGAGTTCGAGGGCCCTGCTCTTTCGAGCTTACAATCTAGGAGGGAGGGGATGGGGTACAGGAGGAAGTGGCTGTGGGGGATGGAGTGGTAGGAGGAGTCGAGGAGATCGGTTGTTAGGTGAGGGTGGGGTAGGCTTCCCTCAAGAGGTGGGTTTTTAGGGTGCGCCTGAAAGTGAGGAGGGTAGGTGACAGTCTGATGGATTGGGGTAGGGAGTTCCAGAGGATGGGGGAAGTCCTGGAGAAGTCCTGCAGTTGGGCGTGGGAGGAGGAGACTAGGGAGCTGGAGAGTAGGAGGTCCTGTGAGGAGCGAAGGGAACGGGTGGGGTAGTATTTGGGTATCAGGTTGGTTAGGTAGTTTTGGGGCAGCGTTGTGAATGGCTTTGTATGTCAGAGTTAGTAGTTTGAATTTAATGCGTTGGGCAATCGGGAGCCAGGGAAGGGATTGGCAGAGGGGGGTGGCAGAAGTGGAGCGGTTGGTTAGGTGGATGAGTCTGGCCGCTGAGTTCAGGATAGACTGGAGTGGGGATAGCATTTGTTTGGGTAGGCCAGTGAGAAGGGAGTTGCAGTAGTCCAGGCGTGAGATAATATATAATATATATATATATATATATATATATATATATATATATATATGCACATATATACACACACACTGTATGTTTAAATGCGTCTTTAATACAAAATATATGAAAAGTATTTTTAAAAATACATTTCAAATATACTGTATGTCTTTATAAATACAAATCTACATTTTTGGAATGCATTTACAAATATATGTAAAAATATATGTTACAATGACTTTTTTATATGTTAAAAAAAATCAGAAGAATATATTTGAAAAATATATATTTTTTAAAATATTCTTGTCTCACTAGCTATCTTTCAGAGACAGCTGCCCCAGGAGAACTGGAACACTCCTTGGAGAAGAAAGAGCACTCTGTAAAGGCCATCAAACATTTATCACATCCCTGCCACCTTCTGAATGTCTCCTTCTAGGGATTGGCTGGGGCATGATAAATATTAATACTGGTCATTTGACTCTCCCTGCCCCATATTCTAGAAGCTTCTTCCAGAATAAAACACCCAGCTAGAAAACCCTATAAAGAATAACACAATCAATTACTGCTCCCCTGACTTTACTAAAGCCAAAAGCTAAATTAGAAGAGGGTGCTATCTATCTATCTATCTATCTATCTATCTATCTATCTATCTATCTATCTATCTATCTATCTATCCCTCTTTACTGGCCTTGCTATTTGGGTAAATATGGTACTTTCTATAGAGTTACATGCATTGAGATATCTTTCATGCTTATTTATGAGGACATATCAATGAAGTCTCATGCTTGGCAGCATGTCATTTGTACTATATCATTTTAAATTCTTCCAGGGAACAGTATCTAGTTTCTGATCGCTCTTCCATTGGGAGCTTGTCAAGTGCGAATGCTGCAGGCCGAATCCAGCATCTTTATTTATCTGAAGATCTGAGCCCAAGGGAAATACAAGAAAAATACTCTTTCTCTCCAAGCAGGTATCATAACTTGTTGTAGATATATTTGTGCATGCAGTGAAAAATAGGCAACTTGTCTTTCTTGACAAATATAAAGTTTATTTAGTTATATAATTTATTTAAATAGAATAAATGGTGTTCTTATCAATACATTTTTTATTGAATTTGACATATCAAGTTAACAGCATAATTACAGTACATTTGATAGTAGACTACTGTATCCATGTATAATGTCCATGCGTTCAATGCAGTTAAACAAAATATAACACTACATGTAACACACATTTGTGCAAAAGTAGTAAACACAAGGCACAGAGGCCTTTATTACTCATCACTATCATAATAATAACTAAAGATACATCCTCAAACATCTCCTCCCACACAAATCACTCCAGAGTTGCATTTGGGTGGGAGTTTCTTGTATATGTTACTGTAAATATTGGAGCTTTCTAACATTGCTGCATCTACAAGTCAAGGTAAGGATCCATTCAGGCGTGGGCAAAAGGAGAAAGTCAAAAGAAAGGATAAGTAAAGCAAATGAGAAGAAGAGTAAAACACAAGGGAATGTAGGGGAAAAAGTCCATCACGATTGCCCATGTGGAAACGATAGCTGCCAAATCAATATCTTGCAAAAGTAACAAGGACCTGTCAAAGCTCATCAAAATATAGAGTTCTGTTTTGTTTGAGATCAGGATTTCTCAAAAATCCAAGTCTTGTCATTGAGGACCACAGCCAATTTTTCTTGGGTCAGATACCACATAATTTTTGTTTTAGTTGGACAGTTGTTGGCGCAAGGGTTTGACTTGCTGTTGTAAACAAAAACATCAAGAGAAGAAATTGGTACATTTAGATGGTTTTAGGTTCAGCAAAGACTCTTTTGGTGCCTTTCCCATGCCTTTACCTAGCAACCTTATCTGAAACATTATATTTTCTTGTTCAAATATTTTATTATCATTTTAACAAGGGGAAAAGATATAGGTAATAGATATTTCGCAAACATAAGATCATAGACATTGGTATCTGCAGTAGTAACAGAGAAGGGGAGAGGAGGAAAGTACTGATACAGCAATATGGCATTTCAAATGGCAGAAGGTGAGCAAAAGCAGTATGCATAATTACAGACAGGATTTTGATGAATGAAGAAACATGCTCCCCAGTACTTTGTAAGGGGATCGGAACATGAGAGCGTAAAATTATGCAGGATGGTCAAAGGGAGAGGGGTCACGGGAAAAAAGGGAAGGGGGGGAGGGAAACAGGTTGAGGAGGTCCAAAGGAAAGTGGGGATGGGAGGGTGGGGGGGGTAAATGACTCCACAAATAATAACAATGAATGGGATAATGTGTGACGTAGATAAATATGGTACCAGGGTAGTAGGAAGTATATGGGTTTATCATGGAATAAGAAGTGAGTCGTCAAAATTTGACGGGGAGGAAACACTCCACCCATGGGTTCCAGATATTCAGGAATTTAGGGATAGTATCTAGTATTGTAGCTTCCACTTTAGTGAATCATAGCCTGTGTAACTTTATTCTTAACAACTATGATGCTTAAGGAGGGAGATTTCCAAGATTTAGCTATGACCTGTTTGGCTGCCGTGGTAACTTGCAAGATAAGTTTGAATTGCTAAATGGTAACACTGGGGTGGGGGGGGGGGCTTAAGTTGAGCAGAGCTATAATCGGGTTTGGCTGAAGCGTTTGGAACATTATATTTTATCCCTGGGGTAAATCTAGCTATAGCACCCTCATAATAAATGAGGTCCCTGGGATGGATGTTATCATCTGTGATCTTAATCTTTAAAGTTCCTTCATTTTAATTATGGGCAATTTGTTAAAGGTGAATGATTTATCCAGAGATCAATTTTGAGGTAATAATTATTAGTCCTCAAAGGACATCTTGATAAGCACTACATAATAATTTTCCATCCCATTTCCAAATTATCCATGTTAGGAAATTATAATTGTTTCTTATTTTAGATATTAAAATAATACATAACTGAATCCTTTATATAGACTGGTGCTCTGTATATAAATAGATTGAAAAGTGTTTGAAAAAGTAATTATATATATATTAATAGTGTTCCTGAGGTCTAAAACAGTTTTGTTTTAAAAATAGTGAAATCAAATCAATTCACCCTGAACTGACCTCTTTCTGGATAATGCAGGGCTAAACAGACTTTGTATTTTCCCAATGATAAACTGGCTGGTGTCTGTTTAAATATTCTATCTAAACATGTAGATTGTAAGCTCTAACGAGCAGGGCCCTCTGTTTCCTTTTGTACCAAATTGTTTTGTAACTGTCTACCTTCATTTTGTAAAGCGCTGTGCAAACTGTTGGCGCCATATAAATCCTGTATGATAATGACAATAATAATAATACATTGTTCCTAAGCTTTGAAGATCCTTGGTTTTGTTTGAATTCGACTGAAGATTTCTACGTTTCTCAAAAATTCAGTTCTTCAAAGCCTTCATTTTGAGATTTGTGAACACCTGTGATACTGAGTTCATATGAAGTCAAGCTTCATATTTCTTTAATATTTATATTATCACAATTTGATACCAGAAAAACCTTCACAAAGTATTATTCAGCTCACATATAGATCCTAATGGAAGATCAGAATGTCATGTAAAAAAATACTAGAAGCACTACTTGAAGCTTGTGGAAAGCCTGCTGAAGCTTACTAAAGTGACAGTCAGCTATCTCATTAAGATTTGTGTAAAACATTCCCCAAAAAAAACAGACTGTAACTGTTTCTTTAAAGGCAAAGCTGTTTGAAGCTTGATAAATGCTTCATAAATGCTTTACATAAGTTGCTGAAAGCTACAAAAATGCTTGAAGTACACACTGCTCTTATTGAAGCCTCTGTGAATAAGGCCTAATGCTTATGTTAATAGGATTAAGGAGTATTTGTTAATATTAATAGAATATCTCTTCTAAATACAACAATCAAATTAACTTTAACAAATAAAAATGATCATCTTTTGAAAAACCATCCCCAAATAAAATTCACTTATATGTTCTGGCATTGTCCAAGGGGTAGTTTACACCTCTTTTGCTCTTTGAAGAGCAATCAGCGTTCAGAACACTCTTCAGACAGCATGGTTGAAGCATAGTTGTCCATTTAGTAATGTCCTTTATCTTTTAACCAAAATAAAAATGTAATTTGCATTCTTCTTTAGAATTGTGTATCGTATAATCTTTGTCTTACCACTATAACACCACTTATTTTTGATTGTTTTTGATATTCTTGCTGTTGCACTATTTTTGCTCTTCATGATCTTAAAGAAACCTGTACTGAGAGAAATAGTGGAGTTATCATTGTTGACCTTTTTCTAAAAATACTAGCTGCCCTTCTGTTCCTGACTTCAGTACTTTCCTGGAACAAGCTGGAGTTACTGACCTGGAACAAGCTTTCAGGTTAGAAAATCAGAGAGATATCAGAGCTGCTGATCTGTATCTTTCAAGGTGAGGCATGGGTCAGTATGACAGCCAGGCAACTAGCATTTTTAGAAGGAGACATCAGAATGTTCAGGTGCTATAAAAAAACACAAATTTGCCATTTCCGAATAACAGATGCACAAAAGTAAAGTAAATGTAAACCTTAACTGTATGCAATTTAGTTTGCTAAAACACCATGTACCATAAATAACTGTCATGTTTTTTGTTCTTTTTTTTCTTTAATCTAATTTATTATTGAAAAATTTGAAAGCCTTTGCACAGAGTTTCCACACAAAAATATGTCAGATTTTAATAACCAAAGAATTGAAGTGAAGGCATCACACTATCAATAAGGTAGCACATCAGGAAATACCTGCTAGCTATGCATAGATGAAAAGTAGCAGATGACAAAGTAGGAGAATCAAAAATGGGAGCCTGAGAATTACCGCTATGGACTGAAGGCTGTAGTAAATAAACCACAACAAGAACAAAAAAAAGAGAAAAGAAAAAAGAACAGTCATACTGGGAAGATAGACGAGAGAATGAACGAGGGGTAGGTCAAGAGGGAGCATTGAGGCAGACATAGTAGTAAGCACCAGGTAGTTTAAGAATGGCCTTCAAAACAATCTCAGGGTTCCTAAACCCATTCATAAATAGAGAGTGTGTTATTTAATCTGGTTGTGAGAGCTTCAATGAGTTGAGCTCTCAAATCCGGAAATGGACTTTGGTGTATTGCCAGGCTTTGAAGTTGTCACCAACAGAAGGCTATCAGACACTTAGTAGCCATTAACACATGTAGAGAGGGGGGGAGGGGCATAAACACGGTACCTTGAGCAGCGTGAGCTCCAGGCGCCCGCCATCCATGTGTGCAGCCCTGTTCTGATCTTCTCTGCTGACTATCTGGAGCCCTGTCCTACCTGAGGCCTGGGCGGGTGCAGCACCGGACACCACAGCAGCTCCTAGTCCAGGCATCCTGGTGGTGGCCGGGGTCGGTGGAACTCGGACCTGTGCCCCTGGGAGAGGCGGTGGGTCGGTGTGAGGGGCATCGGATCCCTGGGAGCAGGAGGCAATGTGAGCGTCCCTGTGAGCACCCATGTGACTACCCATGTGACTACCCAGGTGACAGCCCATGTGATGACTGGCGGCAATTTTGAAAGTGACGAGCTGTCCCAAAGGAAAGCGATGTGGCTTCATGGCTGAAGAAGAGGCAGTGTATTAAAGGTGATTTACTCTGCACTGAGACAGCAGTCTTGAGAGACCCTGAGACACCCCAGGTTGACCGATACACAGAGACCGCTTACTAATTTACCTACTCTTACTTGGAATCAGGCTCGGAGGCAATGGCTGGGACTGAATATGCTCTGAGATGAAAAGATCCTAATCGGTCGGCACGAAAGGTGGTGCTGAGTTGCTGTGAGTAACGGCGGGACATTTTTAATCTTGGGATACATCTGATGTTATTGCTGCAGTCTAAATGCACTCCTGAGTATTGGGGGGGATGGAGGACTATATTTACAAGGATTTTCAGTGGTTTTCCAGAAGAGTCCCAAGGGGAAGACTTGCAGGATGAAATAAAGAATGTGCT